CGAGGGCCAGGGACTCCAGGGCGGGCTGCCGGGCTCTAGGTGTGATCAGAAAGGAGCAGATGGCTTTTTGTTCAGGTTTGTGATCAGAACTGAGTTTCTGGCCGACATGGGGAGGCAGAGGGAAGGGGCGCGTCCTCCTCCCCTGGGGCTCTCTTGACCCCAGCTGCTGCCTGGTCCCTGCTGAGAGCCTGCCCACCGCGACCCTCGGAGGTTGAGCTTCTGAAGTTCAAGGTGAACTTTCCCAGAGGCTGCTACGTGGGGACACCAGAGCTCCTGACAGTTGTCCGGAGCTGAGACCAGGGACAGCTTCATCTCCCCTTTTGGGGACAGTAAAATAATGACACTCTGAAGCAGTTTTCAGAGATAAGAACAGTGAACCTTGGAGAGACAGGACCAAGGAGCCAAAGTCGGTTGCAAGGACAGAACAGGGGACACAGAACAGGGGACTTGGACTCGGTCACAGGGAAGTTCCTGCCAGTCCCTTGTCACCTTAGCCATGTCCCCTCAGAGAGTTTACTCATTTGGCAAATGCTTACAGAGGGCTGGTCACTCATCTGGAGTTGTGTGGCCGGGGGGACGGTCAGATAGCTCTCTTTTATTACAAAACTAGCCACGAGGCTGAGGCCAGGCTCCAGGGTGACTTGCATGCACGGGCTGGGGGGTGGGGGTCACTTTGGCCTCTCTCGATCCCAACAGGAGTCACCTGTCTCACTGTTGTTTGTCCTCCAATGTAAAACTCCTTACAGTGACATTTTACGGATGTCTATTTGTTTAAAGACATTTATACTCCGACCTGGATAGACAGCTTCGACTTTTTTCATCTGGATTTGAAAGAAATGGAAATGCTGCTGTGGCCCGCGTCCCCTGTGTTTGGTGGCCAGGGGCCCGAAAACATGACCAGGGTGGGCTGTCAGAGTCCCCTCAAAGGAACCATTTGATTTAGAACCCGGAGGTCAGCCCCAGGGTTCAGCCTGGACCCAAAGCTGCCTGTGTCCAGCCTTGCCTGGCGGCTGGGGCAGGAGTCCCTGTCCCTAAATGTCCTGAAGGGAAAATGTGTGGGCGTGACTAACAGGAGGAGACAGGGTCCTGTGGGGGGAGCCGCTGGCAGGAGGCCCCAGAGCTCATGGGGGACAACGTGCTGGTTTATAGATCCATCGTGAATAAAGGGAGCCCCCAAAACTCTGGAAGGAGAAATGAGGCCCGGGGAGCACAGGTGGAGTGTTTGAGGGAAGGAAACGGACCCGTCACTGAGAAGGCACCGCGGAGACCCCAGACGGTCTTCAAAGGCAGGAGGCCCAGCGCCCGGAGGCAGGAGCGTGAGCTGGAGACCTGCAGGAGACCAGCCTCACCCGCTGGGCATCGCCTCCAGACAGAGGCCGAGGGTGTGGATGGGTCAGCGCGGCCAGCAGCCCGAAGGCCCGCCAGGCCGGAGCCAGGTAAGTGCTCGGGAGCGCCAGGGTGGGACAGCCAAGGGCACCGCGACACCCCAGACTGGGGAGGTGGCTTCTGCCCCAGGACAGGAAGTACAGGTGACCGGCAGGAGAGCCAAGGACGCACTTGGGTCCTGGAGGATCTGTCACAGAGCTGGTGGCAGAAAGTGGTGACATGAAGGGACAAGCAGGAGCCATGTGGGCTGTGGTCTAGAGATGGACTCCACCACCACTGGCCAGGTGACCTGGGCTGCTGCGTTATTGTCCTGGCAGGGCCACTGCAGAGCACCACAGTGGGGCGGGGGCTTGGGACAGCAGGAGTGGCCTGTGTCACAGTTCTGGAAGCCGGAAGTCCTGAGTCACGGCACCGGCTGGTGGGTCCCTCCTGGGCCTCTCAGGGCCAGTGCTCCCTGCTCTCCCAGATGCTGGTGGCTCCAAGGGTTCCTGGCCACACACATGGTCCCCATCTTTGACTCTGTCTTTACACAGGTCCCTGTTCTTTCTCTGTGTCCCCTCCTCTTCATGGGAGGACACAAGTCACTGGATTTAGGGTACCCCCAGAATCCAGGATGAATTCATCTTGAGATCCCAGCTAATCACAGCTCAAAGACTGTTTCCTAACAAAGTCAGATTTTTAAATATATATATATATATATATATTTTAATTTTTTTAATTGTAGATGGACACTATACCCTTATTTTATTTATTTATATTTATTGGTGCTGAGGAGGGAACCCAGGGCCTCACGCGGGCCAGGCTAGCGCTCCACCACTGAGCTCCAGCCCCAGCCCGAGGTCAGATTTTGAGGTGCCAAGTGGACACAAATTTGATGGGGTAGGGACATCCAGGATGGAATCTCTGTCCTCTCACCCCGACAATGCAGATAGTAACCCCTACTCCCGGGAATTAAGCAGGAAAATGCCTGTAAAATGCACGGATCACCCAGCCCAGATGTCGGCAGTGAGTGTGAGGGTCGAGACGTGTTTCAGGGGACAGTCGTCAGCCCTGCTGGCCTTAGCGGGCACCTGGTGTGCGGCAGGACGCAGCGCCCTGCCCTGCCCTTTAGACAGGGCGGAGGGTCCGTGTGTGAAGACAGAACCAGATACGTCACCACTGGAACGTCCTTTGACACGGTCCTCGGGGACGGTTAGGCTATGAGTTAGCCCCAAAGGACAAAAAATTAAAGACTCTCCTGTAGGCAGAGATGTGCACCCAGCGGAACTCTCCCGGGAGTAAGTGGGAACTGACGTTTATTAACATTTCCTAGAACATGGAGCTGAAAATGCAGTTTCACAGCAAAACCTCCAGGCTTGCGCAGGATGGGAAGCAGTGAGCTCTCTGCTGAGCTGCTGCGACTCTGGACCCCTGACGGTCCCAGAGACTCCACCCGAGGTCAGAGATGGTCAGCAGAAGGACTGTGGACGTTGGGATCAGTTTATTCTTTGTGATGGGGACTGTCCTGGGCCCTGATGCTGAGCAGGGTGACCTGTTGCCATGACAACAAGAAATCACTCCATCAATCAGTGCCAGGAGCACGCCCTGCTCTTCACACCCAACAGTGTGCGATGGGCTAGGAACGGATTTAAAAATCATTCAACCTCCTCTTCCTCTTCCTCTCCTCCTCCTCCTCTTCCTCTTCCTCCTCCTCCTCTTCCTCCTCTTTCTTTTCCTCCTGTCTGCAGAGCTGGGGGATGCTGGCGATGGAACCCAGGGCCTGGCACACACCAGGCAAGGGCTCTGTCAGTGAGCTGCACCCAGCCTCAGTCCCCTTGAGTCCCCTTCATGATGTGAATCACAGTCGCCACCAAGTCCCTGCTCCATGGCGGCTGCAGCGCTGAGCTCCTGGGTTCCCTTAATCCCCAGCTGCCGTCAGGAAGGGTCATTTGTCCCCACAGGCTGGTGGCCAGCTGGAGTCCCACAGAGGTCAGAGAACTGGCCCCAGCCCTAGGCCAGGAGGTGGCTGAGGTGGTGCTGGGATCGCGCTCTGAGCTCTGGGCGTAGTCCCCTAACTCTGAGACAATCCGCACACACCTGCCCAGCACCGATCGCACACTCAGGTTCTCCCTGGACGTTCTACTACCCACAGGTGTATTTGGGCTTTCTTCCGTCCATGGCTCCTGACCTACAGCTCCCTCCCACGGCTGCCATGACACTAGATTTCTCTTCTCCGAGGCAGGTCAGAGGGCTCCGGTCCCCCTCCCTGTCTGTCTGGGAGCTGGTCCTAAAGAATTCTCTGGTTTCCTTGGATTGAACATCCCGAGATTCAGAAGGGCCCCGCCCCACACCCGGGAGGAAGAGGCGGCCCTGGAGGGGCGAGGAGCATCTGGACAGCTGGCCCCCGGGGTCCCCCCTGCTGGGTTGGCTTTCCATCTGTCCTTTTCGTCCCCATCATGTCTGCCTGTGCTTCAGTGGCACCTGTCAATGACGTTTCCTTAGAACCCCCCAAACACAGGGTTCCCAGAGTTTCCAGAAGGCTGAACACGGGAGTCAGGCGGGGCGCCCCCACTCCATGCAGAGAGAAGCGCTTGTTCTGGGGACCTCACCGACTGCACCCCCTCTTCCTCTGGCTGCTTACTTGAATCCGTTGAAATGTCCTTTATAAGAAACGGGTCACGTGGTGTTCCCATGGTGCTGTGATCTGCTCAGGCAGATCAAGGGAACCCCAGGAGGGGGCAGTGGGAACCCTGATGTCGCTCAGAAGCACAGAGGAAACTGGGGCTTGGGGTTGGCAGTGGAAGCGGAGGGGACAGTCTTGGGGACGGAGCCCTCTGCTTGTCAGAGAGGACACAGCAGGACAGAAGTGGATGAGCCGATGCCCGAGTGGTGTCCGCAGCTGCCCCGTTCACACGGAGTGTGTCCGCAGTGACCTGCGCTGTGTGCGCAGCAGGAGAAACCCAGCCCGACTCTGTGCCTCTCCATCATCTCCCCTCCCCACCAGGCAAAGCCTCGTCCTCTCTGCTCACTGTCCTGAGGTGACTTGCTCACCCACCGGCACCTCCACCAAACTCTGAGTCCTCGAGGGCAGCGCTAGAGGGCCTTCACATTTCCAGTCCCTGCATCATTCGAGGAGCGAATAAATCAGATATGGCTTCAACCACGAAGCTCACATGCCATTTTAGATTTTATTATTTTTTTTAAAAAATATATTTAGGGAGCAAAAGAAAAAGCTTGCTGGGTGCAGGGGCACACACCTGTAATCCCAGAGACCCAGGAGGGTGAGGCAAGAGGATGGCAAGTTTGAGGCCAGCCTGGGCAACTTAGTGAGGCCGTAAGCAACTTAGCAAGACCCTGTCTCTAAATAAAATATAAAAAGGGCTGGGAACGTGGCTCAATGGTAAAGCACCCCTGGGTGCAGAAGGAAGGAAGGAAGGAAGGAAGGAAGGAAGGAAGGAAGGAAGGAAGGAAGGAAGGAAGGAAGGAAGGAAGGAAGGGCTTGCAGATCTTCTAGGTGTGCAGCTTCATGCTGTGACTCACATACACACTGTGTAACGATTGTCACAGTGAATTTGATCAACTCCTCGGCCATCACCCGTGCTGTGCACTAAAGCTCCAGACCTACTCACAAGGGAATGCCTGTACCCCTTGATCAGCCCCCAGCCCCTGGCAGCCCTTCTCCTTCTGCTCAATACCTCTCCCGTGAGCCTCCAGGAAGCCGCTACCCAACCACCGCAGTTGACCTGAAAGACAAAACCGCCCCCCACCTCCCCGCAGACCCCTTGTCAAATGCCCTGCTCTTTCTGCAGGTGGATGACGCCTCCTGGAGGCTGGGGACATCCCATCAGTCCGTGACCTGGGATTTCCTTCTGGTGGGACTCTTCAGCCACACGGGGCCACACCTGGTCCTCCTGTCCCTCGTGGTCACCGTGTTCGCCCTGGGCCTCCTGGGCAACACCGCCCGGCTCTGGCTGATCCACGCGGACTCCAGGCTCCCGGTGCCCAGGTACTTCCTGCTCAGCCAGCTGGCTCTGCTGGACATTGGATTTCCGCTGGTCACCGTCCCCAAGATGGTGGCTGGCTTCCTGCGGGGAGACAGCTCCATCTCCTCCGCAGGGTGCGCCGCTCAGATGTTCTTCCTGATGCTCATGGGCGTCTCTGAGGGCGTCCTGCTGTCCCTCAGGTCCGATGACCGCTACGTGGCTGTGTGCCACCCACGGCACGATGCCGTGCTCAGGAGGCGACAGGTCTGCCTGCTCCTGGCTCTCGGGCGTGCTGGTGGCCTCCGTCCAGACCTGTGTGGCCCTGCGCCTGCCCTGCTGCGCCTCACCGGGACAGCGTGGTGTCCCTCTTCTACAGCCTCGTCACCCCACCCTCAGCCCCCTCATCTGCAGCCTGAGGAACAGGGAGGTGCGCCTGGCCTTGGTGAAGGTCGTGGGCGGGGGCGGCTCCAGGTCACGGAGATGACCTCGTGGTCCCTCTTCTCCTAGGGGCCCTCCCTGTAGCTGAGGCCTGTCCTCTGTTTGAGGCCCCGGGGTCAAGACGTGCCCCTTCCCCTCTCAGGCTTCAGTTGTGGGGGGCGGGGGGGGGGTCATAGGAAGCAAAAACCGTCACCCAATAACTCACAGGAGGAAGAGGGTGGTTTTTTGTTTCTTTTTTTTTTTTTTGGTCTTGAACAGAAGACTTTTTTTATTGTGGGAGCTGAAGTGCCATCATGCGGTGTTCAGAGGACGGGGACCGACCCCAGCCCTGGTGGTCCGGGGGGCCTTGGGACTGGTGAGGATGGATAAGGTCATTGGGAGGGAGCCCCTGATGGGACCCTGTGGCTCTGGAGGAAGAGGGAGAGACACAGGACACACACACACAGGTGCTGCCTGCCCTGTGCCGCCTTGGAACACTGCCAGAAAGAAGGCCATCGCCAGATGTGGCCCCTTGGCCCTGAGCCTCGGGGTCGTGGGCCAAAATGAATCTCTTCTAACTTACCGGGTCTGTGGTACTGTGCTGTTAGGGACGCAGGGAGCCACCTGTCAGTGTCCGCCACACACCCCATTCTTCTACCAGGGATGGAACTCAGGGGCACTCGACCCCTGAGCCCCCTCCCCAGCCCTGTTTTGTATTTTATTTAGGGACAGGGTCTCACTGAGTGGCTCAGCGCCTTGCTCTTGCTGAGGCTGGCCTTGAATTCGAGATCCTCCTGCCTCAGCCTCCCGAGCCGAGGTATTACAGGCGGGCACCACTGTGCCTGGCTCATTCGTGTGCCTTTCTGCAGTGAGGGCTCTGGGCTTCCATCCTGGGCAAAAGTGGAGGCCTCTGGATGGCACAGGAACCAGCACTTAGGTTTCTCCTGTGACCTCTCCTCCCATAATTTGTTCTTTGGAGGAAAACTCTATAATTCACCATTGTCCTCTATGGTTACCACTTTCTTATTTCAGTGAGGATTTCTGGGCAGCCTGTGCTCTAATGGACAAGCACACCAGCTAAAAATCCTCATTCGATTTAAATTTGTCGAAGAGAATGGATGCAAAGAAGTCTAAATGATTTATGTTTCACAGAGATTGGTCCCTTCCCAGCCAAGCAAAGACGCGGCCACTGTCACAGAGTGGCCAGCTCGAGGCGGCGGACTGCTAAGAGTAGAGAGACTTTGCAGGAAGGAGATAAAATTTCCCAGAGCTTAGAGACAGCGTGGGGCGACATAATGGCTGCTCTTGCTCCTTCAGCAAGAAACCACTGAAGTCTGTCCCCAGGCCACCAGGCCAAGTCCACAGGGACACCTGACTCCCTGCTGGTCAGGAGTGCCAAGAGCAGGACCTGGACTCCTCCGCCCACGCTTGTCTGCCCTCACACTGCCACAAGACCCCACTTTTCTCTGTCACTGCCACCGTGGCCGTCCCAGCCTCAGCCACCTCCACACAGTCACTCCTGTCTCCTGCTGGAGATGCCACCAGACACGATCACAGTCATCTGTCCCTGCTTCTACCTTCGTCCCTGCTTTCTCTGTAACGGACACATAAGGATTGCACCCATGTGTGGACACATACACAACGTGTTGGGAGCAGGCGAGGGTGAGGGACATTCCCATCTCCTAAGCGGTGGTCATCTCTTGGTGTCAGGAGCCCACCAGCTCCTCCCCTCTCGCTCTTCCTAAAATCTAGACACCTTGCTGTAAACCGAGTCGCCCTCCTGTGCTGTGGAGATCTAGATCTTACTCCTCCTGCCCAGCCGTATTTGGGCACCTCTGTCATCTGTCCCCACTCCCTCATCCCCTCTCTTCTACCAGAGTTAGAGGTCAACCGTCTCAGCCCTCACCCTGAGCGGGGACATGTGCTTGTCTTGATGTGCTCTGTCATTAACCGACATTCTCCAGGTCTATCCTGCTGCTGCAAAGGACAGGCTCTCCTTGTTTTTCTGGCTGACTAGTGTTCCGCTGTGCGCGTGCCATCTGCTCTTCACCCATTCGTCCACCCACGGACCCCTCGGTGGCTCCAGTCAACGGGCTTCCTCCCGCCTGTCACCCTGCACGAGGCCCCCACCAGGCCCCCACCGAGAGACAGCGCTGAAGTGGAAATCAGCTGGCAGCCGAGACGACATTAATCAGAGAAACAGTGAGATGTGAGAACGGAATGAGAATCTGTCCCTGCTCGGGCCCCAGAAAGAAGCAGTTCTCTCTAGTCCCAGTGCCCTCTGTCCCCAAAAGCACTTTCCCAAACAATGTTCGCCGGCTCTTCCTCATGCATCCTGTCCCCCGATTCCTGGGTCTCCCCAGAGGTGTCTGAGCAGGAGACTCCGGGTCCAGGGAGGCAGGGAGAGTGCCCAGGAGGACACGATGCCTCTTCTGTGGTCCCTGAAATACGAGGCAATTCGATCTGGGATGAGGAAGTGTCTGATGGTCAGCCACAGTGAGGGACGTCCCATGCCACAGCTGGCCTGGATTCTCCAGCCCTGTCGATGTTCAACCCCGAACACGGGTTCAGCCTGGATGTTCCCAGGGACTGTGCCATCAGTTTCAAATTTAAAAATTTAATTAATTTAATTTAAAAATATTCCATGTGATGACCAAGGGAAGCCTAGGAACTGGTTCAGGTGAACAAGAGACGTGGCAATTAGATCTACCTGATCCTGGTGTGGGTCTTAGACCAGAGGCGGGGAAGCCTGCTGTGAATTATGGACATTTTCAATACTCACAGATGTTTGATCCGTACTCCACATTCGACAATAACACAGTGTCCTGCTGAACTTCTTGACTTTGATAAATTTACTGCAGTTATGTAAGAGAATGCCCTTGGATTCAGGAGGCTGAGGCAGGAGGATTTCGAGTTTGAGGCCAGCCTGGGCAACGTAGTGAGAACTTGTCTCAGAAGAAAGGAGAAATGGGGTTGTAGCTCAATGGTAGTGCCCCTGGGTTCAATCCCCAGTATCTATCAATAAATCAATAAATAAGAAAATGCCCGTCTTCAATACCCAGTCGATGAGTATTTGGGGCAGAGGGACATTGCTATGGCCTCATTTGTGTTTCTGCAAAATTTACAAATTGAGGCCTTAAGATCCGATGTGACAGTCTTGAGAGACAGGACCTTTACGGAGATACTTAAATTGGGTCTTGAAGGAGGAACCCAAACCAGTAGGACTGGTGTGCTCAGAAGAGAAGGACAGACAGAAACTGGGGAAGGGCCAAGGGAGGACACAGCAAGAAGGCAGCCAGCCTCCCACAAGCCCGAGAGAGCCCTTGCCAGACGCCTGCCCTGCCCACACCTTGGTTTTGGACTCCGAGGCTCCAGATTCCAAGACAATACATTTCTGTGGCTGAAGCCACCTGGTCCGTGGTGCTTTGTCCTGGCAGCGCCGTGGGGTGGCGCATGTTGAGACTTGACCCTTGCTCTGGGGAGGCGACTAAGTCATGGGGGCTCTGTCTTTATGAGTGGATTAGGACGGTTAGGAAAGGGGCTGGTGATGATGGGTGCACACTCTTCTGCTCCTCTGCGACGGGATGACACGTGTTCCTCCTCCCAGCAGCGCAGGAGGTGGAGGCAGGAGGATCACTGGAGTCCACAAGTTTGAGACCAGCCTGGGGCAACATGGAGACCTGTTTCAAAGAAAATTTTCTTTTGCCATGTAAGGACACTGCCAGATGGCATTGACCCGATGGCACCCTGAACTGGGACTCCCCAGCCTCCAGAACTGTGAGAAAGAGTCTACCACGCGGCCTGCGAAGTGGTTTCATTAATGAGGTTCTAGGCATAAAGTTAGTTAGACGAGATCGAAATAAAAACACAAGACTCAATTACCTTAATTCTATTGCTAGGTCCGAGACGGCTCCCCTCTCTGGTTCGCTCCTCTAGCCGCCCAGCAGGGCAGCAAGGATTACTCAGGGCTAGCAGGAGAGAGAGAGCGAGCACGCCGGGGAGTAGCCTTTTATTAGGGAACCAGAGATTCAGGGGAGAATTCCATCCAATGAAGGTTGAGGGGGGACTGCACTCCAAGGTCAGGGTCAGCGATTGGGTCCCCGGGGTCAGTGGTCAGGCACACCCCCACACGGATGGGCTCTCTCATCAGGAGAGGGCCGGGAAAAACTTCGACTTATGCCAAAGTGCCTCAGACCCTCAACGGGAGGCACCCGATCACGTGTGAGAATGGCTCCCAACAAAAGAGAAACAAATTTCTGTTCTTTATAAATTGCCCAGTCTCTGGTGTTTTGTTATAGCAGCACAAGGGGACTGAGACAGGCCACCTGAGCTGACTCATCCAGCTGTCACCCTGCATCCTCCCCTCCAATGGCTCAGGAAAAAGAAATCTATTGTATATAGAGATGGAGCAAGAAAATAAATAGGGGGGGCGGTGGCAACTGAAGAGCCTGAGAGGAGTTATTTGTACCTTGAAACTCTTCTCCCAGTTTGAAATATTTCACAACTTAAAAAAATCAAAGTGATAGTGACATCATCAAGGTGTTTTCTGAGAGTAGGTCAAAACCTATCAAACGTGCATGCTAAATATGTGCTTTTAGTGTATATCCATCAAACCTTAGGATGGTCTAGAAATGAATTAAATGCGACCGGGGAATGTAGCTCCGTGGCAGAGAACTTGCATAGCATGCGCAAGACCCTGGGTTCCATCCCCAGCAGCCCCCCAAAAAATAGGAAAAGAAAAGAAATAAAAGATTGCAGAGGGAATGGCAAGGGGAGGCAGGTGGGAAGGGAAGGTTGTGACAGGTAAAGGACACCGCCTTCTAGTTGGAGCTGGACGACCAGCAGAGGTGGACTTCTGCAGCCCCAAACTGAAGTTGGTCCTCAACCCTCACAGGGCGCGTTTCCCAGGGAAGGCGCTAGGGGGCGCCAGTGCTCCGTGAGCCGCACGCTCGTTTCTCCAGGCTGCAAAATCGCCCTCTGCCTACAGCACACCCCGAGCCCCAGGGTGGCTCCTGGGGGCTCTCAGAAGTCCCAGAAAACGTTCAGGACACACGGGGAAAAGTTTTA